GGGGGGGAGGAAAGACAAAGTGAGCAATGACCACGGTTACAAAGGCAACCACAACTATTAGTAGGTATGACATAGTCATCATCTAGATGGGGCTGATGGTTTCCATTCCACACACACACACACACATATATATATATATATATATAGACACACACACACGGTTGATTTTATATGCACTTCAGGAGGGAAAAAAGGATCGGGGTTCTCTTTTTGTCTGTCTCTGAATTGACTTCTTGCAAAACCAAAGGCAAACACAGAGCTAAGTCTGATCTGGAAACATGCAGGTGTAGATTGGATTGCAACCTCCATCATCCCTTCGACCCTAGCACATTCTGATCCATGATTTTAATTTATACCTTTATACATTGTAGAGCACATACTGAACAGAAGGGAGTAGAAGACTGCCACAGACTTAATCTTATGTCTTAATTAAGTTTAATTAGCAGTCATGACTAATGTATCTGGTTGCTGCCAGAGTCACAAACCATAGACTTTCTACCTGTGGAAGAGCAGGGATTCAGCTTCCCCCACGACTCTGTCCTTACCACCCTTTTATCCTGAGGAAGCTTTTCCAGAGAAGTCTCCTTCAGGGACTCCAGCAGAGGCAGGAGAGCAGAAATCATTGGAAGCAGACAGTAGAGAAGAGATGATCTGAAGGCAGGACTTACAAGCAGATATATTTTTTTATTTCAAATCTCATAGAAGTCAATGCAGTCTGAGTCACAGCAAGGAGGAGCATGCTCAGGGAGGCCAAAGGACCTGCTGTGTGTGGGGTGTGCAGCACAGCAATGCCACAGGAGCCCAGCTGGCCCAGGGGCACATGTGGAAACACAGAGTTGTTGCAATGATAGCTTAATGCCTCCACCTTTTCCAGGAGATCTCCCACAGTTCTCATGTCATCTTCCTTTCCTCTTTCTGTAGGATCAGATAATTCACAGACAATTCCAAGTGTATTTTATAAAGTTTTCCCTTGTCCTCCATCAACTGGTTTACGTGTTTACATGACACATTTCATGACAGCATCTACTCTAGACAACATCAACAATTGTTTGTTCTGTTCTTTCTTCTTAGCAATCCCTTAGACATAACAGCAGTTATAAACCCTCAACTGATGGATGTTTATCTGAAAGTCCATTCCAGCCTCAGAAAAAAAAAAAACACAGCAAAGTCAGTTGTGCTGAGAACAATTTTATTGTAATGTGACAACATCTGCAAAATTACTTAGTGCTGTACAACAGAAATCTCTAAAATATTTTTTTTACCCCAAATTCAGGGCACATTTTCTGATCTCTACTAATTACATTAAAATGCCTTCAATTGACATAGATAAGAATGCACTGCTGTTGATGTTTCTTTATACCACTTAAACTCTAAAAATGGCAAAACTTTATAAGGTGATTTATCGCTTCACAGCTTTTGCATGGCAAATCCATGCATAGGACTACAAACTCCACCTCTTTCTAATTTCAGAAAAGTTAATTAGCCATATTTATTCATGGCCTATATGAAGGCATTTGGGAAAAAGTCAAGTCAAACTGAACATTAGAAGAGCTCAGTTTTGATTGTTAGGGCTTAATATCTACCTTGTAACCTCCAAACACAAGAACACACATATATATATTTATTTGAAATCCTTTTTAAACTGTTTCAGTATATTAGAAGTAACATAGATGATAAATAGTAGTGTTATTAAATAAAGAAGTTTTGTTATGTTCATATATGTCCCTCACTGTTATGTGCCACTTCTTGAAAATATTTTATTCTTTTCAAATCAGATATCAATCCTTAGGATTTTTGACTTATGTCTTAGGCTGACTGAATGGAGATGACCAATGAAAAAGACGTTATTTATTCCTTATCCATAGTGCTTTTCATCTTTAAAGCACTTACTAATCACTGTAACCTCACAACCTATTCCATAAATAAGGATTACTGTCCTTTTTTAAAGATAAGGATATGAAGGCAAAGAAGTTAAGTGACTTGCCAAGGACCACAGAGAAAGCAGTATTCCATCTTGGATTGAAAGTGGAGTCTTGCCTCCTGGTCCTAAAATCATTAAGATGCTGCTATACAAAATCTTCATTGCCATTAACAGGCAATAGTCTGTACAAACAATTATGAATATTGACAATCAATCAAATTATTAGCTTCAAATAATGTTAATTATGAAAATTTTTTTCTGCTTTTGTTACAACTTTAAAGAATTTGAGCAATTAACCCTGTTTTTTATTTGGAGAATAAAAACTCATTCTCATACATTATTTGTTTGTGGTAACTAAGATTGATAAATTTTGTTTAATTTTCTGTGATTTGGGACTGGCCACATAAGTAAAGTAGAACTTTTTCTGCCACTTCATTGACTGACTATAGAACAACAAACAACTGTAATACACTAGGGGCTGGAATTTTGTTGTTGTTGATATATGGCCATTTGTACTTAAATTTTCAAATTCCTGATGTTGGGTTCCTGATGTTGAAGTTATCCATTAGACTTTAAACAATAAAACAGCCTGAGTCCCAATAATTAGAAGCATATTCCACTCACAAAATTCATTTCAGAAAATATTAGTGCTGCACTTTATTTCTTGCTGACTTTCATTAGTCCACACTAGTATCTGAAACCCTTCAATTAAATCTCTAGAACTAGATTTTGTCACATCTGCTCTGTAGCAATTGCTAATGTTTTTTGACTTTTTAGTGACAAGCTCTTCAAATAGGACTGATTTTTCAATAATTAACCCCAGATTTTTAACAAAAAGGGATTTAAAACATATATTGAATCTTCTGCTTCTAGCATTGTTCTCAGATAATTCAACTACATTGATCTAAATTATCCTTGGCGTCAAGCAGGCAGATGTAGACTGTTCATTACACTACCAGAGGGACTTAACTTTGGTGTTGTCACTCTTGCCAGTTCTTTGTATAAAGAAATAATTCCAAGAGTCATATTTTCTTTTAATGGAAAGATTGCTTTAGTGATTGCTAGCAAAACAGGGTAATAGAAGGCACTTCATTGAACCAACTTGTTTCCAAAAGCAATATACATTTTATGATTGGTTTGTGATAGGTAACATTTAGGATCTGATTCTGTAAGTTGTCAGGCTCCCTGAGCTCTAATTAGAGCTGTTAAAATTGAAGGCATCTCAGCACCACACAGAGGGTGCTCAACTCCTCATAAAGTCAGAGGCCCTTGGCATTAGGAGGTCCCTTTTGAGCTTTGTGGAGCACAAGTCAGATGTTGTCCTCATACTTGCTTTTTAATGCATTTACTTTGTGCTTCGTGTTGTTCATTTCAGCTCCATTTCACAGGGGCCAATTTATTTCCTCTGTTGCATCTTGAGCACCAGCGTTGGCTCGGTGCACATGTCTCAGGGTAGAGTGTTGCAGGTGGGGCAGCTACAGGACTTCTCCGTGAACATGAACTTTATTTCGTGATTGTCTTTGCTCTCATGGGAGTAGCTTGCATAGCTGTACGTTTGGGTTAGTTTTGCAGGGATTTCTGCCATAATGACTTTTACACAGAGGGTGCAAAGCTTTGGTTTCATGCTATCCTCTCACTCTCCCACTGCTGGGGTGGGAGCTGCTCCAAGATGGCAGCGTCTCTGAGCAGTTTGCTGAGCAGCCCAGAGCTGTGCAGCTGATGGTTCCCATCCCCCCCCATATCTTCCTCCCCTCCTGTAAAGCTGTGCTATAAAGCACAGCTGAAAGACGTTCAGGCTCCCACCATCTTCCTTCCTCCTGACTCTTTCTGCGTTGATCAAAATAGGCAAGATCTGGCCTGGAAGATTGGCCCCTGTTTTTAGAGTTGTCTATTAGACATCCCAGGAACATAGCACTGGGTAACAAGATCAAAATGAAACACCAAACAGTCTTTTTGGTTCAAATGCATTGTGTCTAGGTATATGTGTTGAAATGGAAACCTGAGACAGAACAGCTTTCTTTTCCCTGACACTGACAAAATAGAGTACTTACACTTACCTATGTATCCCAGCACTTTCTGCCTCCGCTCTGAAGACTAACTACTGTCTCTGACATCCTTTAGGAACAGTGTGTTGGAGATCCAGTCCTCTTCTTTCCTTTACGTTTCACGCTTTGTAAATGACAAT